AGAGAGAGAGAGAGAGAGAGAGAGAGAGAGAGAGAGAGAGAGAGAGAGAGAGAGAGAGAGATTTCTTGGACAGGGGCCATGCTGATCGTCTCTGTATTGTTCCAATTTTAACGGATATCCCCGAGGATGTGAGAGAGAGATTGACATCCCTGGCCACTCACCGGCCAGGCACGGCCATCCACTCACCCAACAGCTCGGAGTTATGTGTGGTATGCTCCGATGACGAATCAAAAGGCATGACATGTTGTAGATAGGCGACTAAATACTGGGCTAGGCATCCAACCTTTGGGAAGCCCTTTTCCCTACCCCCTTCCCAGAAGACGCTATCCAACTTCTCCCTTGGAATAACATCCCTGCCCGCTTTCAGAAGACAGAGAGGATCTGGTTCGGCATGATCAGAAAGGTGACACTTTGGTCTATGTGGAAGGAAAGGTGCAGCAGAACTCTGGAAGGCCTCTCCAGTCCAAAAGAGAGCATTTGGGCAGCTACAAGGTCACTGATTCAGGCTGAGATTCTATACAAATGGCAGAAAACAAATCATCCTATGCCGGACGATCTAGACCAGCAGCAGAAAGTCAGAGCTAAATTTGCAAGGGTATGTCTGGTGGGAGGTAGATTAGCAGATATACATCGCTCCTGCTTACGGTGGAAAGACTGGCCCAACTCAGAAATGGGGCTCAGAAGGCAGAGGTCCCAATCAGCAGACGTAAAGGACCCAATACAGGCCACCTAAAGCTGATGGCATAACAGAGAGGAGGAGATCTGCAGAGAGACAGTCAATAACTTGCAAGATCACATACAGCCCATACAAGCTTAAGGGCTTTTGGCTTCCACAGCTCTACGTCCTTTCTTGGTTTCATGTTCAATTAGGCAGGTTTGGGAAAATAAGCCTGAGAGGAAAGCTAGAGGGAAGGCAAGCGGACAGTCCATCCTCCAGGCATCTGGACCAATCAATGCTGCTCTGGGGTCCTCCGGCGAGAGGCAGTTAACGGAGGCCCTAATTTTCAGACAACTTGTCACCTCCGGCCAAAGTGAAGGGGGCATGAGGGTGTTCTTGTTGTATATCCGACTTGTCGGTGGATTAGTCCGCCTGATGCTCCTCAGAATGGATATGGAGCCAGGGCCATAAAGACCTGTTTCTCTTTATGAAAAACAAGTGGACCTGCCGCAGTTACTCTGCGGCGAAGGACGATGACAAAAACATTTTGCGAAACACCCCAGCCATCAGTTGGACCCTATCTTTGCGATGTACCCCTACCGGACTGCCCAACTTTGTGCCGGCAGTTGCCAAGTTTTCGTAGGTGCAACTGCGAAAGGCCAAGCGAACTTGCACACCCACCTGACAGGGGCATAACACAAACATGTCAGCCCATAAGGCCATTCCACTGTGCCCATATCTTTT